TGACTGATGATAAAAAAAAAAGTGACTCTATGAAGGTTTTTTTTAATTTTGAATTTTTCATCCATATATATACAATTTTGCTGTCCCCCATTGGCAGAAGTATCTGCAATGTTTAAGGTTTAATAAACCCTCAAAGACCCAAACTGCTGGCTTCTTGGAGTGCAACATGGAAATCATTAGAAAACATGTACATCTATCATACAAATTCAAAGTTGAATTCGTTTGCTGGTCCCTGTAGAAGAGAAGTTTTATCTATCTTTCAGTAGGCACCAGCTTACCATTTCTTCATGTGTAGCTGTTAAAAGGGCATGCATACAGATGAGTTTTTAGAAGTCTGATAGCAATTTACTTACCCAAAGATCTCATTTGCATGTGACAAAGTAGATGCATATAGAGTCTGGGTTTCATTTTATGCTTACATTGAGCCTTTAAGTGACTACTGCTGAGCATGTCCTTGGAATAACAAGCTACATTTGCAGCTTCATCTCCTAGAAGTTTATATCACTTCTGCTGGAGTAACAATGTAGAAAGTGACAGGGAATATGGTAACATATTCTACGCTTGGATGAGTACCGAATGGAATGGACAGCATTAAAGAATGCATTTTGCAATGATGCAACAAGTGTTTCGGCTAAAATCCTGGGCCACTAAATGAAGTAATGTTTCCGTGTGTTACTAATGAAGCTGGGATTTCACCCTCAATGTTTACCCATAAGATTGATCCAAACAATTTTGTCAGACTGGTGGCTGAGCACAGCTCCATGACCGTTACTCATTGTCCTCACTTGCAACTCCATAGAATGGTTGAAATGATATGGAAAAGTTTGTACCTTACAGCCTGTTTTGACCAGACTCTTGCAGTACCAGCAGTTTGGGGCCGGCTGAAACATCTGTGGACTGAATGCATCATACCTGGAGCACAGGCTTTATTTGACCCCATTGTGATGAACTAATTCAGAGCTTTCACATGCTCTCATGGTTGTCTACCGTACAATGACAAAGAATTTTTTTGCATCAAGTCTGGTTCAATTTGGTCATGCAAGGCTTGCTTTAGGTTTTGTTTCAATATTTTCAGTTAACGGGTACAACAAATCTTAGTTGTATACTACCTGTAGGCAGCAGAAAGCAACTACAAACCACGTAACTGGAGAGGATTACTTATCAATTCACAAAGACTAGGAAGAGGAAACTTATTACACCAACATATTTCAAAGTGTTGCTGTTGCTTGATATTGTATGTCACACTCAGCTGTTTTCACTAAATTAAAAGACAGCCATGACACAATGCAGCTCTCCAACATACCTGGAGGCAATGCAAGATTATTCTGATATGTTTCTAAAAAAAAATCCTGAAATGGTTAAGGGAATAAGAATGCTTTCAGGTACACAAGTATATGTAGATAATTGCTTTCAATCTCTTTGGGAAAGAAAAAAAGTTTCAGATGAAATTATCAACATCTCTGCCTTTGGTTAAACAGGTATTTTTCTTCCCAAGTGTGGGAGGAAACAGGTAGTGAGTTTCGTATTCCAGTTTATTGCTAATGCATAGGAACCTGACAAAAACAAATCTTTGAAATGGCATAATCTATACTTAAAGCCACAGTGCAAGTAACAATCAATCACATTTTCATTCCAAGGATGCTTGGATAGAGGACTTAATTGTTTGCTGATGAAGGGAAATGAGTAAACACTAATTTTAAAGGAAATCTTAGTTTGCCACCAGCTTGCTTTGTTTTTAATTTGGATTTTTGCCCCTTTTTTCCTGACACTGAATATTAGATCCAGCCAGTATCTGAACTTACTGAGTAGCCAAATCTGTAATTACCATACTACAAAGTAATATAAGTAATAATATCAAGTCCTTTATGACTTGATTTGTGATTAGGAGCGGATGTGGAATTTTCTTGTGAAGTGTTTTTTTCTTGGAAAAGGCAGATGTCCTGACACCAAATATTTGCACATGTATAATACCTGTTCCAGTAAATGGTCAAGAAATCAAAAAGCTGTGATGGACTTCCTGAATGCTTCCTGGGAGTCTAGGAACTCCTGGATGCATTGCTCGAAGGAAGCCTTATACGGAAAACAGCCTGAGAGCAAAGGGCTTGAGAGGAAAGCCAAGAGCCTCCCGCTTCCATGTGACATGGCCAAGAGACTGGCAAGATACAAGCCCCAGCTCCCAGAGTTTGATTCAGCTGTAAGATCTGCATGTCTGCAAGTTCCCATCTCTCCCTCTCAGTCCATTGCGACAGCACGTTAAAAAACGTGAATTCCGATCAGAATGTAGGCATTACAAGCAGGAGTAGGTGGGACCTTTTAACTGAGAAGAACCACATGCAGAGACATTATCTACGGCATGTTTAAATACTTTCCTAGAGATGGGAGATTTCAACAATTTTACGAGTTCTCCCATTTTTCCTTACAACTGAAATTCTACATTTTTTGACCATCCATAAGGATTAGAGAAAATAGTAAATAATGCCATCGTTCTTTGATCACATCACAGAAAAGATAGCTTCTGATGGCTGCATAGCTATCTGCCTGCTGTAGCTCTTAAAATGTTTCAGAGTTGGCAATGTAACTCAAATATTTTTAATTAACCAAAAGGAGGCTAATACATAAACATCATAGAAGTAAAAAAAAGGCAAATGTGATCATTCCCTGTGCATCCCAGGCATTTCACATTTTGCAAATTGTCTACTCATGCCAGTATGTCAGCCCATCAGATAACAACATTACCACATAAGGTAATTCTGCTGTAAACTGAACTTTTTACTTTTCACCAAAGTAAATTAAAAAAACTGACAGATGAGGAGTGTAATAGCTCAGGGAAACCACTGTGCTAATGCATCTACCAGTTTCCCAAACCAGACTATACACCTTGCTGGGCTGGAGTTCGAATAAATTCACAATTGCCTGAACCCACCTGTGCAGATATGCCCTAGATCCTGGCCTTTCTTTGCCCTTCAATCTCTGTTAAAAATAGGGAACTAGGGTGGAAAAAATGTTCCCTGCAATACAGGATAATGCAGTTATAATCAGTGGAAATGCTGGACCCTCCATGGTATGAAAAGTGTATATTTCAAATAAATGCATTAATGTAATAATTACATACACAAAAAAACAGTGGCATGGCATGAATAATTTTGAGTCTAAGTAAGAATGTGCTAAGCATCTTAACAGACAATACCCTGAACCTTTAAAACAGTTTGAACACTGCATTATTTCTTATTGTTTATCCCTTTGAGAAATGACACGTTCTCATCTTTAATCAAAGACTGTCAACACAGCAGCACTGCTCTTGAGCATGTACTACGCTTATGACCATTACTGAGGTGACAACAGAAAATGGCATTACCACATCATCATTTTGTCAGTTGTCATAATTTCCCCGTATATCTCTTCGCCTTGCTGTGCATTAACTTGGTTGCTGGGTTAACACTGTCCTATTGAAGAAACAAAAACCTGCTGTGTAATCTCTCTTTATCTCATACTTGATCCATTCGGTGTTATTTCAAGGCTTTGTCAAAGACCTTAGGTGCTTGTCTATTGTTAAGGATCATGGTTTCACAATGAAGAAAAATAATGGAAAGAGTGAACCATAGAAGGCAGTGCTCCTCTTTTTCTTATTTTTCTTTTTTTGTTGTTGTGTTTGTTTGTTTTGTTGTCTGTGGATAAAACAACCCAATAAATAGTATCACACAAAAAGTGTGCAGGGGAGAGAACAAGCACACGGTCATTTCACAGGTTTGGAAAGTTTAAAAGTAGTTACAGTTTTACCATTTCCATTTCATCATCTGCAAATGTTAATGAGCAAAGTATGCATGGTTCCTCAGAAGAAAGATTGGACTGTTCAAGATTAGCACCATTTCATTAATTTTATTTATACTCTTTGCACTCATCCTGCATTTGCTAGGCTTTTCCAAATAATGCTACCAGAATACAAAAAGGTGTAAATTGAGGAAAGGAGTGGCTCAGTAAATAACCAAAGTCAGCATTGACTGAATATAACGTTACTTACAACACACAGTGAAGTATTCAATCAGGTCTGTTTTACAAGTAATTGATGTTCTCAATAGCCTGTGCATAGTGTTGTTGAGAGAGTTAGAAGGATGTTAACATTTCATTATTCTTGCCATTGATTTTTTTCTGCTTTCTTCACAACAAAAGTCAAAATGTGACCTCTTATTCCACTGAATTAGTTCCAGAGCACTTGGCATTATTGACCTCCTAATGAAAATTAATGATGACTCTTTTGATTCAATCTTTCAAGTAGGCACACCAAGCACATTTAAGAAATAGGCACATTTATTTCACATAATGAAGTGAAATAACACACTGTTAAGTAACAAAATGTACATTAATGCAGTATTAAAATTGCAAATTTAAGCACACAGAATGCAAGAGATTTAAACTGCATTATCAGGAGCTGATGCTGCAAAGATTTAAGCTTGGCAATAATTTCAGACCTGGAAAGCCAATGAGTTTTGCAAGTAAAGCTACACATATGCTTAGAAGACTTCAGCCCCAGGCCCAAAATTTATTGTCAAAATCTGGCAAGACTGAAATGTTTTTAGTATGCAACAGAGACAATTGTGCATTAGCCTAGGTATTTCCATGCTTTTCTTTTCCTTTATAAAGCTAGAGAAGAATTCAAATTCATTTCAGCAACTTTTTTCTTCTGTGCTCAAAAGCTGTCACCCTACAGCTGAGTGGATTTCCTTCATACAGAGCCTTACGCAAATGTTTATGAATAAATTGACTTCAGTCTATGGATATGGATCCTTTCTCCCTTGCATCTGTGTAAATAAGGATTACCTCTCCCAGGTGAAACAGGAAAGGTGAATGGATTCATGGCTGGAGATCGGGTGAAATCTTGCCATTTTATCTAAACAATTTCCTATTCCTCAGAAATTCTCCCAGAAATAATTCCTAGGGAATTACCTAGGAATTTGGCAAGAATAGTGAATAATCTAACTTACTTTCTTCCTCCTTTTCCTTAGACAACAAAGACTACGATGCATATCTATCTTATACCAAAGTGGATCCTGACCAGTGGAATCAAGAAACTGGAGAAGAAGAAAGATTTGCTCTTGAGATCCTACCAGATATGCTTGAAAAGCATTATGGATATAAGTTGTTCATACCAGACAGAGATTTGATTCCCACGGGCAGTAAGTCATGTCTTCATGCTTGTGTGTTTCCTAAGCAGCAAATGCAGTGATCGTTTAGTACTGCTTCTGTATCTACTCCTTCAGAATGTCATCTTTCCTCCCTTGTCTTAGAGAATGGTGAAGATAAGCCACCAAACATACTGAAAGTGTATTTCCCAGATAAGAGGATTATATTTTAGTAATTGTATTATACTGATTGAAGGTGAGAGTGCAGAAAGGGCATGCATAAGTAAAGCAAATGTATGAGACTAACATTTTCTTCACAGATTTTTTGAGAGCTTGCATATCTAGGAATGAATACAGAGGTGTTTGGGTTTTGTCCCTTAGAGGTTGCCTGGAAAGATATCCGTGATTCTAAGTTTTCATTACAGAAATCCAGACAGGAAGGAAAAGTTATGTTTGGGCTATGCAAGGGTTGAGTAAGACCATCTACAGCAGAGCAAAGTACTGAATTCTGTTAGTGACCACTGCAGATAAATTTGTAGTGGAGGTACTGGACCGTTCTCAGAGACTGAAAATCAGAATACATTCCAGCTGGTACAAGTAGACCTTTTTCGTGTTTCTTTCGTATATTCCAACCTACACACAGTAATTTTTTGTAAGTTGCTGTAGTGTTCTTCATAAATTCAGTGTAAACATATAGACAGCTACTAAGATCAGTATCTTTTACTAAAGACAGGAAAGGATGCTTGGTATAGGCAAAGAACAACATCAAACAATCACAAGGATTTTTTTTTAAATCTACAGCAAACTAAACATGAATTTGCAGGAGACCACACAGGTTTTGTGAATATGTGTGGTGGCGGCATGAAAGGAAAAGAAAAATCTAACCCTACAGTACACCTTAGAGTATCATTTGGGTTTGAGGCTGAGCCGCTGAAGCACATAGTTGCTGCTCTGCTGCCTACTTGGGTGGCTTTGTCTTTTTAAAGAGAAAAACAGTCATGGACACACTTGTTCCAATAAAGATACAGATATTGATACAAAACCACAGCTCATAAACAAGCACTCACAATGTACAGTGTGTGGGGGAATAGATGTTTCACAGGATCAAAGAATGATTGAGGTTGGAAGGGACATCTGAAGGTCATCTTGTCCATTCCCCATGCTCAAGCAGGGCCACCTAGAGGAGGTTGCCAAGGACCATGTCCTGGCAAGCTATCCCGGCATGTTTGCAAGTGATGTTTTTGCATATTTTAGTGAACTCTTCTGGGAGCAGGGTTTTGTCATTGCTCCCATAGACTGGAGCAGAGTGTTTTTTCTTAGATCGATTTTTCAGCAATTGTCTTATTTTGTAGCCTACATTGAAGACGTGGCAAGATGTGTAGACCAAAGCAAGCGACTGATCATCGTCATGACTCCAAATTATGTGGTTAGAAGAGGCTGGAGCATCTTTGAACTGGAAACGAGGCTTCGAAACATGTTAGTCACAGGCGAAATTAAAGTGATACTGATTGAATGCAGTGAACTACGAGGAGTTATGAACTACCAGGAGGTTGAGGCCCTGAAACATACCATCAAGCTCCTCACTGTCATTAAATGGCATGGACCAAAATGCAACAAGTTGAATTCCAAGTTCTGGAAACGTTTACAGTACGAAATGCCTTTTAAGAGGATTGAACCCATCACACATGAGCAGGTTTTAGACGTCAGTGAGCAGGGGCCTTTTGGGGAACTGCAGACAGTCTCAGCAATTTCCATGGCTGCTGCCACCTCCACTGCTCTTGCCACTGCCCATCCAGACCTGCGCTCCACCTTTCATAACACATATCACTCACAGATGCGCCAGAAACACTATTATCGAAGCTATGAATACGATGTACCTCCTACCGGCACCCTGCCGCTTACCTCAATAGGTAACCAGCATACCTACTGCAACATCCCTATGACACTTATAAACGGGCAGCGGCCACAGACAAAAACTAACAGGGAGCAGAATCCAGAAGAGGCTCACACAAACAGTGCGATACTCCCCCTCTTGCCACGGGAGACCAGTATATCAAGTGTCATTTGGTGACCGAAATGTAAGGGGCCATCAACCCCCTTGAGCAGGAGCTGAGTCTGCAGTCCGGTGCCTGGAACTACATCCTCGACTGCTGCTGTTAAACATGCATTACAATCGATAACATACGAGGAAAAACAGGGTCTTGTACATATGTTTTTTGCAATTTCTTTGTAGCATCAGTCTTCCTGTTTTACCCATGTCTCTTCCCATTCACATTTTCAACTTTGTTTTATATGTCATTGGAATTTGTATATTTACATTTTTTTAAATGAAGAGACTGCTGTATAGATAGGAAACTTTTTGCTTCATTAGTATAGTTTTAGACTTTTTGTTTGTTTGTTTTTAACCTCTCTTGGGAATGCTTGGACAAAGCTGTGTTGATATCAGAAGCACCATCCATTTTGTTAGCCTGCCTAGCCTGATTCCTGAAGGCCATGCCTGCTGCAGTTCACCTCTTTTGGAGAATATTGTTCTTAGAAAGACCCCATCCCTTACTGAGAGCTCCAGTTTCATTTCTACTCCCGTAATGTGCACTGCTCCTTCCTTGCCCTTACAATGAACCCCATTCGGAGTAGCACTACAGTCTGACCATCTAACATGTAACTTGGTAGAGATCTGTCAAACAACAGAATATACCCAATTTGTATTGGTTCCTTCACAGTAGTCACTACACAGTCTGTAGAAACTAGAGATGGTTTGGTTTTTGCTTTCTTGAGTTTGGTTTTTTTTTTTTAATTATTATTTTAAGAATGAGTTGATTGTATCCCTTTTATAAACATAAAAGCAAACCCTATTTTTAACACTTCCTGGAAAGGTATTGATGTGGTTATGGATTTTGTTTTTAAGCATTTAACTTTTTCTTTTCCCCTTTTCAAAATCCTGCAAATAAGATCATTTGCAATTGTCAGGCAAGTAAGACAAGTGAGGCAATAGGCACTGAAGTGCAGAGAGTCCTGCTGATATTTACAGTGATGACTTCCAAACCAAAGGGGAATAAAAAGACGGTATTGTAGATGGTTTGTCACTTTGTATTATAGAAAGTGTTATTTTCTAAAAAAGTAAGAGCAAAACATTATTTTGCTGTGGATTACAGATTCCCCCTGTATTTTAATGTTCCAAAAACTGTATTTGCTTTGAAATGATATATTCAGGATTAAGAAATCTTCTTTCACTTGGTTTTAGCTTGTAACGATAAGTAAAACTTTATTAATTTCAACATGATTTCAGTAAAGAACTCAGGCAGAAAAAAATGACGTGAATACCGACATATTTCATTGTTTTCAGAATAAACTTTATTTATACAAAATTAATATTTCAATCAGACCTGGAAGTATTAAAACCAATTTATTCACTTTAATGAATAAATAAATTAGTTTTAATTTTTATGTATGATTCTATCTCTGAGGAGTTGCAAATAATGTGTGTACCATGGCTGCCAGGGAAGAGAAAAAAAACACTATGTTTACTGGACACCTTTAAGACAAATGAAATAAGCATCTTACTCATGTTTTAAATAATGGAGAAGTCCCTTCTGGTTTTAGAGAGAAGAGCAGTGTTGTAGCTTTACAACATATTCAAGCCAAGCTCTCTGCTAGCAGAAGCAGAGGAGCAGGAGTAGAGTTACTGGTTGCAGCACACTGTCATATAACCGTGGGTTTGATTTACCCTGGCAGAAATGTAACTGGTATCCTGGCAAACAGACCTATAGTTTATTTACGTAATTAATTAGCTTTAGGTATTTTTCTGGTAGCTGAATGATATTGGCCAATGTAATGGGTATGTGGGGTTTGTTCATCCTGATTGTCACAATGAGAAAAGTACAGTTTATAATATTTTGGTCTTCTTAATGAGAAGTGATTGGTAGAGAGCAGGTAAACTGCAGTTTGGGGGATGTTTGTGGGAGTAATCCAGAACTGACAGTGTGGGAGGAAATGACTATGCTTCTGTCATGAAAGTTAAGAAATCTCGGTATCTGCATAACAAGCTAATAGAGCTTTGGGATGTGCACTGATTTTTATTTGCTTAAAAATGTTTATTTCTCTGCCAATTTGCTCAAGTCCTTTTCTACAATCTGTTCTTTATTACGGTGTCTCCCTCTGGACTTGTGCCAAACAGCCACAAAATGGAAATTAAGCTGCCAGGTCAGATAAAATGTTAAGAGAGTTTTGCACATTTGGTTATTTTTATAGTGTAAGAAAGCTATTATTTATTTGCTCTTACAGACGCCTGTCAGGCACTGATGGCATTTTCCTTCATTCATCTGGATGCCAAATACCCCATATCCTCTGAAAGCAATGCATTATTTTTTCCCCTTTCCCTCCCCTTCACATGCCCTGGGGTAAAGACTGGGATGGGGAATAAATGCAGGATGTAACTATCTGACTGCAGTCACATTTAGATGATCGGTAGGTGTTTCCTTAGCCACATGGGGACTACTTTTCTGTTGTTCTATTTTTAATGTAAATTTAAGCACTTTGAATAGCATGATTCAGGGATTGATGGATACTATTTGATATTCATACTACTTAAAGAAAGTTTTTCTTATAATGTTTTGTCATAACATTAAACAAAAGAAAAACAAAAATAAAAAGAAACAAACCACAAAACAAAACCTGAAATAAATGGAGAAGCTGTCTATGGCTTTAGAAACATTCCTCCTTAGTATTCCTCCTCTAGGAACAGCTCTATGTGGGGAACAGTGAAGGAAAATATTGTGTGTTCACGTGCTCTATGTTTGACAAAATTCTGTTGGAACGCAAAATAAAATGAAGAAAAAAAAAAAACAACCCAACCAAACCTGTCATTGCCCTAGTGCTTAGGCTCCATCCTTTTTTGGTGAAGGTGTTCCAGTTTTTGACAATGCAGCCTGAAGTGTGCATGCAATAGCCACATGTAAAGTTTAGCCATAAGCAAATAGCACTTTATTTTAAAAACTGCACAGTGTGATGATTGGAAAAACTTACTCTGCGTGGTCAGTAACTGCGGGTCTGTATGTGGATTCTATGCACACGAATTATCCAAGTGTGGTGCTTTCTCTTCATAAGGCGCTCTCTAATCAGGGTAGTCCTTGATACAAAACTAAAGGACTCTGTTGCACAACCTGTGGAAATTCAGTATATAGGTTCTCCGGACAGTACATATAGCTGGACAGAAATGGGGGACTGTACAGTAAGCAGCTAATTATTTTGAAGGCAAAATGCATTGCTGGGTCTGATTCTGTTCTCAGTTGCAGCAGGATGATTTGAGGGTAAATCTAATAAAGTTGAATGAGTGTAAGATTGATTTGTGTGGGAGAAGAAAATTGGAAAACCAAAGAGAAAAGTAATTCATATTTGCAGTCTGTGACAAGCTGAAATCTTGGCTGCAAGGAAAGCAGCAGAAAAATGTCTTCTGAATTTTAGTAGGCACCCAGTTCTCACCTGGCAGCCAACATTAAACACATTAAATATGAACTGGTTCAGAGCTAAATACTGTTAGGCTTAGATGCAAACTAAGATTTTTCTATTACTGCACAGCTGTGAAAACCATGTGTATGTTATATAATGGGTGATAATCAGCTTCAAAATAATTAGAAAGCTTGTTATACATTCCTGATTAAAATTCACAATTTTACTTGGATATTGTGCATTAATGAAACATTTAAATTCTAAATAAAGCAGTAAAACTGGCCTGTTAAACAGGCCTCCTTCATTCTTAAATTAAAAAAAAAAAAAAAAAGAAGAAAATGTCGAGCTGGCAAGCCTAAGGAGAGTTCAGTTAAAATCCAAAGAGGAAAACAAAATCACTGTAGTAAAGTAAGCTCAAAAATAGGATAAAGGCCAATGGAGAAGAAAGGTCAAAATACCCACCTGTTTTTTTACTCTATTTACTGTATTGTGACTTTTTTTGTCATGCAAAGTTCTGTACTCTGGCTGACCTACATCAAGCAACCGGCTTTTCTGGGGCCTATCCAGAGAGATCAGCAACACAAATATGTCCCTGTATGTCTAATACACTTCCAAATTATTTTGTACTTGTTGATAGTCTAGCACAGAGAGTTTTTGGTGTGTCTTCTATTGTTGTTACACAGAGGATTGCAGAAATCTGTCAGTGCTAGAAAAATCTCCCTAATAGGCTTCGTTTATAATCCAGATAAACTATATTCCTTCACAGCCATCCCTTACCTGATTTGGTGTTATTAGAACACTTTTTTTAACCCATTTCTCATCTGAGCAAGAGATAAATGTGACTGGCATCAGAAAAAATGTAAGCAATTTCATAATAATGAGTCTCCTTGCATAATGAATGCTGCAGGTTCCCTTGCATTTCTTCTGTATAATCACAACTCTTCACCTCTTAAATAGCCCACCGAGTGGAGGTTGGAGAACACCATTGTGTCTTTCATTTGACATTCACTGAATTTAGTACGGATACTGAGCTGTCATTTGTGATGTAATTTTGCTGGGCTATCTCCCATCGACTCTGGCTGTATCCTCCAAGAAGCCATGTTGGCAGCATCACACTTCTCCAGCTGGCCTTGGGTTGATGTTTCAGAACCCGGAGCTGTTGCCCTGGGGAGCAAAAACAATAGAAAGGTTTCAGCTATTAAGAGTTTTCCTATGCTTTTTGTTTGTTTAAATTCTGTTGAAGACAAAGTTTGACTTTTGCTCTGGACTAATAAGCTCTGCGGGTGGGAAGTCAAGAGTCCACAGAGCCATGAAGTAGTCAGAGCAGAAATTACAAAGACAGGCCTGAAACCTTATTTAGAAAATGTATAAATTCTGACGCTGCTCAGATTACTAAAAAATTAGTATATTGACATTGAGGGTTGTTGAAGGAAAGTGTTCTGTTTGTTATCACAAGCAGCCTCATTCCAAAAGCTTAACATCATTCTTACATTAAATAGCCAATATATGATAATGTAATTTCAGAAACATTCAATAATCAATTAAAATATTTTTATTTTGGTGGATTAAGAGTAACATGATTCTCTAGGATCTAAATGTTAAATAAAATAGATAAACTTTATCTAG